CCCCCCCCCCCGCCTCGCGAGTTGCCGCGGGGGGGGGACCCGCGCCTTGAGCCCCGCCGTGCTGCCCCGCCTGCACGGCGCGTACTTCGACCTGGGACGCCGCTGCCCTCAGCGCCGCGCATGCGCAAGCAGGGCCTGAGGCAGCGGCTGCGAGAAGCAGGCGGAGGCGGAAACGGCGCCCTCGCGGCACTTCACCGCAGGGGTCCCGCCCCCGCGCTGGCGGCGCGGCCCACTCGCGCCTGTGCGCGCCGCACGCCTACAGCGGTGCGGTTGGGCGAGTAGGGCGGAGCAGCGCCCGGCCGCCGGCCGTGCCCCGTTACGAGCACGGGAGAGCTGCGCTGAGCGCCGCGAGCCTGAACTCAGGCGCTGCCGCGCACGAAGGGAAGCGTTTCTTCGGAGCTTTATTCGGAAAAGCCAAGGTCGAAGTACTGCTGCTTTCGGAGAAGGGGTTGGGGAAGGTTAAGTTTTATACAAAACCAAAGAGAAACACAGCGTCGGTACAAATAAGTAACAAAATTCATGTAGTAGGCAGTCGTGTTAGTTAGCTACAGTAGTCAACAATACAAAGAAATTAGATATAAAAGGTTTCTTGGTCAAAAGCTTACTATGCATTTGGAACATCTATTCCCCTTATCACAAGACTGATCAAATATGAACAAAGTAAGCGTAAAGCTTTCTGGCTTTCAAGAGCTGCCAAGATCGTAAGACTGAAGAAAAAAAACTCCCAAGTTTGTTCTCCAGAACAGAGATTTGGATAAAACAAAAACTTAAGAAAAAAAATTATGTTCCACCACCAAGCATATTTGCTATAGGGAGCATTGGGATAAAAGAAGAATGCGGCAGGTGTTTAAATCTTTCCTTATGTTACCTGCATGTTTTGAAGAAGTCTGTCTCTGGGAAAAGTGAGGTCAGTTTGCAGATACTATCTAAGGAAAAAGAAAGAGGCCCCGGGGGGGCGGGAAGACAACACACCTCATAGATGAGATGATTTTGTATTTACTGTACTGCACAGTGACCGGGAACAATATTCCTGAAGATGAAAAACAAACTCCATCCCCAGAGAGCACCCTGAAGCCTAAACATCTTCAGGAAATATTTATATCCCTGGGGTGTCCCACCCCTCCCTGCAATGTTCTTAGTTGGTATTTCTCTGAGGGAGAGGGAGGCTCTCATGAAGATACTTCATGCTGCCATGCTCTGAGAAGTCAGAAACAACATGATTGTCCCCCCTCAGCAACCACTTTGTAGTTAAGAGTCCTTCAATTCCCACTGGTCCACGTGCATGGATACGAGAAGTACTAATTCCCACTTCAGCACCTGCAGGAAGCACACAAGATAAAGGCAGTTAATCCTCAGATGTTCATTTCATACGAAGCAGTTTTGCACCTTTATGTAAAAACAGCTGCCTGCCTTTCAGTGACCTGCTTTTCTCTGCTCCTCTCCAAATGCCAGAAGTTACTTTTACATGATTTAGAAGTTAGAGGAGCTTAACTATTACATTATAAATTGTAATCTTGATACTTTTGGCTGCTACAGAGTTACTTTTAGAGAGGAAGATGCAAGAGAGAGGTATCTCTTACATGGATCTTAGACTTGTTTCCTGAGGGTTTAATCCTTCAAAAAAACCAAAACCAAAAAAACCAACCAAACAAAAGCTAAATCAGTCAGATTGTGATCTTATGTCCTTTTTATCATATTGAGGAGATATTGCAAGACCCTGACTAGAATTTTTTAATCACAAGGAACACTGAATGTTCCAGCTGACACAGTAATAGCCTGCTACAGGAGATTTCTGAATTTCTACCTCAGTAAAGAATGTTTTCCCTTGTCTTGTGCAATTCACAGTAGGTGCACCTGTTTATTTAAGCAGTTGATAATCAGTTTGGTTCCTGCCTTTCATTCCTCAACACTGCAGGGCTGGCACACTGGACAACAGCTCAGTCTGCCCAGCAGGAATGAAGCATGGCATTCTTCACAGCACCATTAGAAAGATAAACAACAACAACAAAACTGTTCACCAATTTCAGATCCTGTGTTGCATTGTTCAATCATTACATGCATACAGCATACTTTATTCTGATTGAATAGAGCTTCAAAGGATCCAAACATCTTTGCTCCGTACTGCTGAATTATTCTACATAGTCTGTATAGCAGTATTAGCTAGTTCTGGCAGGAAAAAGATACTAAACCACCTGCTGTTCCATGTGGAGGAAACTTCTAGGCTTCAACTTTTCCTGCGGTACCTTTCCTGAAAACCTTACATTAGACAGCAAGATCGGAGACTAATCCTATCTTCCAGGATTCAGACTGCCACACTTTTCACACAATAGCAAATCCTGCAGTCACATCCCTGCAGTATTTTCTCTCTTACCAAGTCCAAATCTATAGCCGTCAGAGAATCGGGTACTGGCATTCCAGAAAACACAAGCGCTGTCCACATGCTGGAGGAAGAACTCCGCTGTTTTCTCTGGGAAAGAGGCAGAGAGAAAAAAAATCCAGTACATACAGAACGATCAGGCACTCCAATAAACAACAACATAATACAGTGAACAGATATAAAAATACAACTTTCACATGCAACCTTATCAGACAGTATTTAAACAGCCTGGGCTAAGACATGTTCATTTATATCTTCTCCCCAGTATGCTTATCAAGTAGACACAGCTGCAAACGTTACAAGAAGCTTGCAAAGATTAGAAGAAAGCAAAAAGATGTCTAATTCTAAATACATCCAGTCTAGAACCTGCAAACAGGGATAGTTGTATAACTGGGGAGAAAGGACAGCTGCTCCAAACAACATTTTGCAGTCAAACTGAGACAGTTAAACTACAGTCAGCTCTCAATTAATCTCAAACATGGAATTGTTCCAGATAATGAAAAATCCAAAATTAAATTGCTATTGCAGGTAATACTTGGGCAATACAATGCAGACATACCACATGAAATCAGCTTACTAACCCAGTTTAACACAGAGCATGCAAGACCTAAGCAAGCTCAAGCAGAGTTATGCAAGTCTTAGTTCTCTGGAGGACTCCATTCTCTGTATGGCTGTGAGCTGCAGGCCAGTGGCCCTTACCAATAAAATGAACTTTAAGATCAGCTCTATTTCCAGTACACTCCCTAGCAAATCACTAGTGCACCAGGTCCTGTGGCAGTGGGTTACAGTATCAAATGCATGCCTATTAGTGACACTCATTTAAGCTCGGCAGGAGGTAGAGAAACAGAAGCCTGCTTGACTCACACACTGATCAGCCCCAGATCAACACGACCTTACTGCAGCTGATCCTCAGGAGTTCCAAGCTTGGTTTGATCAGAGAGTCAACTTTTGGCTGGGCACAGCTCTAGCTAGGTTTTGAACTGGCACAGTGTTCAAACTGCATGCAGGACAGGTGCTAGGGATGGGAGCAGCACAGAGCTGCACAAAGGAGCACAAGTTCACAACAGAGGCAAGAAACTGTGAATTGAGATAAATGCAGCTTTTATACTAGGGACGCAGAAGTGGGAAGTAAAGGACTGGGAGAGGTAGGGGGAAAGCATTCTTGTCCTTGTTTGCAAGATATAAAAATGACGTGGGAAGACAAAGTGGATAAAGCCTTACCTTCCCTACAATCCCTATTCCATCCATTAAGGTACTATAGAAGCTCACCTCATCAGCCTTCAGAGCCCTAAAGACATCTCCAGGATTCAGGAGATGTTCCTGCAAAACCCTGTGATGCTGTTAAGTCTGCACAATACAGGAACACAAAGCAATTTGTCTGGCAAGAGCATGTGCTGACTTGCCATTGGCCAATTGCTCAAGCACATTCCTTAACATCCTGGAATAAGGGCCACACAATCTGTTTTCTCTGAGCTAAACACGACTGTAGGCACATTTAGCTCATAGGCCTCCAGTTGGTTATGCCTACTACAGACCCAAGAGAAGAACAACTACTGCAATGTAAGAAGTTACAGTAACACCAAGAACTGGCAAACCAAAACAGTTAAGGAAGCAGACTGATCACTAACCATTCTCTGTGATGATAACATCCGTGTGAGAACTTCCATACTTGTGGATATGTTCAACAGCTTCTTGGACACTGTCCACCACCTCAATGCAGCACTCCAGGTCCCCATATTCTGTGCGGAGAGATTTTACTTCTGAAGGGCTGAATGTCAAGTAAGATGCAAACTTTGGGCCAGCGTGAATCTTCACCTGCAATACCAGAAACATTTTGTGCCACTGACCATACCAATGCCTTCCAGGTGAAAGTGTGGCTTCTTGTACCCTGTATGGGATGGAGTTAATTTTCTTCATAGCAGTCCCTATGGTGCTAGGTTAGGGACTTGTGACCAAAACAGTGTTGAAAACACACCAATTTTTTGGCTGTTGCTGAACAGAGCTTGCAAAGCGTCAAGGCTTTCTCTTTTTCCCCCACTCTGTGTCCCTAGCAAGAAGGTTGGGAGTGTGCAGGAACTTGGGAGGGGACACAACCACAGTAGCTGACCCAAACTGACCAAAGGGGTATTCCATGCCATATAATGTCATGCGCAGCAATACAAACTGAGGGGAGGGGTTTTTTTTGAAGAAGGTAGGCATTGCTCAGAGACTGACTGGGCATTGGTCTACCTGTGGCAGATGGTAAGTAATTAGCTTTGCCTCACTTGTGTGGGTTTTGGGGGGTTGGGGTTTTGGTATTCCCCCCCTCTTCTTCCCCTTTCTTCTTCCTCTTTCCTTCGCTTATCAAACTGTCTTTCTTTCAACCCACAACATTCCTTGCTTTTCCTCCTCTTCTTCTCTCCTCCCATCCCACTTGGGGCAGGGGAGAGTGAGCGAGCAGCTGGATGGTGCTTACTTAGCTGCTGACTGGGGTCAGCATTTGTGAATCAAACATTCACTGCATGCAGTGTAAGAAAAATAAGTCTACACTTTGGGAAACTTAGCAGATTGGTGAACTAGCAACAAGGTACAATAGCTGACATGCTAGGTTGGCTACCTACCGTGACATGCTCCTAGTTCAGGACTCATTTCAAATTATTTAAAGCAATCGCATCACTTAAAAAGTCATCAGGCAGGAGGACAGTACAACACTAATACTGGGAAAAGAGCCAAAATATTGCAGCCAGCCCTTGTTTTAAGAAAGCAACTGCAGTGCAGAGCATAACTACAGGAACGGTTCTAAGTTTGCACCTACAAAAGACTTCAGATCTTGAACAGCTTTCACCCTTTTATTTTGTAAACTGACACCAGCCCTCTCTGAAGCATGTTTCAAACAAAAAGAGGTTACTGGGTCCAAAACAAGAAAACTCACACAGATATTTTTCATTTGTTATAAAGAAGATCTAACACATTACCAACCTCTGAGATTAATCATAGCAGCCAAGACACCTAACAATGAGAGATAAATTAGAACTGATACAGCAGAGAAATCCCCATGCAAATGAAACACAGGAAATTTCGACACGACAAACATAAATGGGAATAAGGCACAAATCTGCAAAATTTGAAATGTGAAGGCTTTTAAGAAGGTATCTGTAAACCAGCATTTTCTTGTGCAACTATAAATTCCTTTAACTGCATAATCCTGCTTACTCTTTGCATGTTTCTTGTTGTCAGGTCATAGACAGAGGTAACATCCTCCCCACTGTATTAGGAGCTGGGGGGGGGCGGGTGGTGGAAACACACTAGTCCTCACATTCCTTCCGTCCAAAATCCAGAGATCTATCCTTCACTCTACCCTTCCCAAGAAACAACCAGACATGAAAAAAATCCATTAAGTGAGGACTTGATCCTGACTACCTATCAGCTTCTTTTCCTATGACCCTTTCAACATCACCAAAACATACAGACTCTCTATTTTACCTGCATTAATCACTGCCTGTACATTCTATTTGCCAAATACATACAGCTGTGTGAAAATCCTTGATTTGTATGCAATTCATACTACCTTCATGGATATTTCTCTCCTGATGCATCTCTGCTACCTTTACTGACAAAACATTACCCATGTCAAGACAACTAATTAGCATACTGGCCTTTCGCTGTTTCTTTGACATACTAGGAGGGAAAACAGGTGGGGATAAAGGGCATGCAAGATGAAAGGTTTTAAAAAAAATGTGGACGAAGCAGAGTCAGAAAGGAGAAAAACAGAAAGGGAATTCACTTGGTAAGCTAAATTAATAGATTCAAGAACAGGCTTTGTGTTTGGGAGGTTAACAGCAATTAAGTCAGAATTAAGAACGGCAGAGAAAGGGTTGTGTATATGGTCTTCTAAGGCAGAAGATGATTTTTGCTATATAAAAGGAAGTATTTGTATCCCAGTAATGGCATGTAGCCATCCTGAAAAAGCTGCTTTCAAATAATTTCTATGGAAAAAAACTTGGGGTTGAGTGGAAAAGCAGAGAAAGTTCTCCATAAGTTTATTTACATGTACAGAGAGACATATGGATAAATCAAGTGTTATGCCATCATAAAACTAAACAGGGCTACACCAGCCAGACCAAATGCTTCTAAACTGTTAGGAAAAAAAAAAAAAAAAACCACAAAACACAAGTATGAGTGACTAACCTGTTCCACTCTCAACATGTCTATGATCTGATCAAACAATGGGGTTCTCAGCAAGTCTCGATGAATTAAGAGAGTTTCCAGAGCATTACAGGCAGCAGGATATTCACACTTTGAGTCTCTGACTGAGGTTTAAGAGTAGATAATTGGTTACATAACATTTTTGACAAAGATTTTGAATAGCATATGAATTATCAGTTACCACAACCATATTGCATACTTCAAATACGAAGTTCAATTACACCCATGAGATTCAAGTCACGCGCTCTCAGCTTACTTATTCGTGTGACCTTCTCAACACTGGCATCCGTGTCCACATACACATGACAGATCCCTTCGCTGTGTCCCATCACTGGGATTCCCTTAGCGGCTTTCTGGATATTCCTGACTAGTTGTGATGAACCACGCGGAATGATTAGATCTATCAGCTTATCCAAACGGCAGAGATCTTCTACTTCCTCTCTTGTGTTCACCTGTGGTAGTTGCAATACAAACAGTCTACGGTTTGAACTCTCAAGTTCTGCCCATACTTTTTACACATACCATAGCAAAGATATTGTTGATTTAATTCTAGGCACTTACTAGTTGCACTGCATCTTTGACTCCGTGAATGGAGAGTGCTTCTTGTGTCAGATGATGAAGGATTTGATTGCTATGTGCTGCCTCTTTCCCTCCTTTAAGTAGTAAACCATTTCCACTGGCTATGGCCAAAGCAGACACCTGTCAGAAAAGAAGTTATTTTAAAAAAAAAAAAGAAGAGAGAGAGAAAATTAATCTGTCTCTTCTGTCAGAACAACACCCACAAAAGAGACTAAGAACAGGATTTTTATCCTGTTGATTTACTCAATTTTAATCTACAGTTTTCATTTTATGGCACCAAAAAAATCATTACAAGTAACAGCACATTTAACTCCAGAAATGAAATGTGTTAAGTATTTCAGGAACAAACTTGAGTTTTCAGGGTACTATTGCCAGGGGGAGACTGCAGTGCACAAGTCAGAGGAAACCCTGGACATAGGCTCTGGTATGAACTGGGTAGCTGTGTGGGCAATCACTCCAAGAATAATTTTAGGTGCAAGAACTCTTGTCCCTAGCCATTCTGGCAGGAAGTAGCTAATGAGCTCTTCCTACAAGCAAGAAGAACATTTTCATTGTGCTGTCTAAAACAGAAATCATAAATAGACAACACTTGCCATAAGTCTGGGGAAAAAAACCTTCCAGACAATAGGCCCAGCATCACCTGCATGACGGTTTGCTTTCATGTTTATAACCAGAAGGAACCAACTGATATTGTTGCCTTTCCATTTAAGGTGCCAGATTTCACCATTTGAGTCCAGCAACACAACTAGACCATACTTCAAAAAAATGCTCTAAAGAAGCCACCGCTTTTTAGAAGTTAAATAAAAAATTACTTCTGCTGTTGAAAACATATACCCAATTCATTCAATCTCCAGACGCTAGTTCTTATTGGTGTTTTCACTACTAAACTGAAAACCTCTTTAACACAGGGGTGGTGGTAGGTTTTTTTTGTTGTTTGTTTCAGGTTTTTTGTTCTTTTCTACCTAGGAATATGTCAGACACAATAAAGCTCTCTTCCCAGACTTATTTTACTTTTGTATCCCTTTTTGTCTTCCTCACTCCAATCCCACTCACCACAGCCTCGCAACTTGTCCACTTCTTTGGGGAAAAAAAACCCAACAAACATACACTCCTTTAGAAAACAAAATCACCTCCTCTCCAGAACCTTTTAGAATGAACAAATTAAGCATTTGAAGTTATTTTACTGTATTTCTATCTTCTGGGAAAAGATCATCTGTATCATTATCATCATCTATATGTATCATCACCAAACCTGCACTCGTTAATATATCAATTGTATGCTGTTGAGATGTGGATGCCAGAATTAGCCAGGCTGTCACCTAACAAGCAGTTACGTGTTCTCAGATCGCCTCCTTTCCCCTTCCAATATCAAATGGATAACAACAATCACAATGTTTGATACTCTACCTCATCCTGCTGTCAGCAATTTGAAAAGAATATTGAACAATAAGAAATAGTTCAGAAAAAAACACTAGGTATAATAGTCTAGGAAACCTGCCTTACATAGATATTGTGTATCTTTCTAACTTATAAAACTAGACACTAAAAAGCAGTCTGATTGTATTTTGAAAGTATCTTGTAAGTATCTGCCTCTCCAAAGGTCAGTATCACAAGAGAAAGCTAAACAAATAAGCTTATTTAAATAAAGAATTCCGCTCTGCAGGCAAAAGATTAAAAGAAAGGTTATGAACCGATTCGAAAAAATGAAAAGAAAAAAAATAATCAAGAATTCAGACACAAAAAACTGTGTGATTAAAATGAGAACAGAAGATAAGGGTTTCAAAACAGTTCAGTCCCTTCAAAGAATAGTAGAGCATGACTATACTTCAGAGCATTTGGTAGAATCTATAGGAAGCGGTCTGTGAAAAATGTTCGCAGTTTGGCCTTGTAAGTATTAGAGGCAAAAATGCTATTTGTGTATGCTCATTAGAAGCTTATTAAATCTTAACTGGTAATCTGCAATTGTTTCAGCTTTACTGCAACTCCAAGATGAACTCCAGGCACTGACCTAACTCTGCATAAGCTATCTCCAGCGAGCAAATCGAGCATGCTCTATTTCAGGGCAAAGTCAAATTTCCCCTGTAATTGCCTACCCAAACAAGCATGAGGTGCAGTAGTAAACTAAGAGGAGGGAACTGCTCCTCTGCACTCAGAGATCATCCTACTATGAGCTATAGCATGGGACAGAAACCATGCAATTCAAATGCAGAGGTATCAAAGATGATCCTCTGAAGCTGCATCAGAGGACCTGATGTGAGTATGAGGACAGGAAGCTGGCAGGAAGAAAAGCAACAACCAAGAGAAGCTATTCCAAGTCTGTAAAACAAAGAGGGGAAGAAAGCCAGCAAGAGTCAGTCTGGTTTAAGTTTTAAGATAAGATAAAGGGGAAGAGAAAGATGGAGACATCAACTACGCAAGGCAAGAGACCAGGGTTGAAGTCCAGAAGACAGACTAGAATTCAACAAGGAAAATACTGGTTATCTATGAAGAACGGAGCTTGCAGCAAGGAGCTAATGATGGTAGACAAGGGAGACTAGTGCCTTTTCATTTCACGGGAACTTTGCCTAGAGCATATACTCCCTTTCAGTATGAAATGGGGACCACTCACAAAATTCAGGCATGAAGTACCAAGCTGTCCACTGATTGAGTCTCACTTCCTTTTGAAGTGTCTGTACCCACCACTTTCTCCTCAAACACCTGCTCGTATGTTAGAGAACTCATCAATCAATCTTCCCAGACACCTAATGTTAATTGTGGGAAATAGTGTTGATAATGAAGTTCTTTTGTTTTCTTTTCAAAATCTACTACAATTGCTCAGTAAAGTAGTCGGGAGTTAGAAAATAAGATCAAGGTTACCTCTGCAACATTAGTTCAGCCCCTGTATTTTCATGCATTATAACAGCATTTACTCACAGCAATACTCCCACACAGCACTGCAGATGAAGGTATTTGCCTTTAAGATACCTGCCTTATTCCTGGCACAAGATAAATGATATTCACTTACAGTACACTATTTGAGATTTTCACTAGCTTTTCCAGCAACTTCAGTACTTTAAGTTCTTAAAACACCGTTCTTCCTCACATCCATCTCACTACAACTGAGTAAAAGCTATCATTCCACCTCACTGCAAACAAGCAGTATCAGTACAGGACAGACCACTCAAAGCCTGGAACTTCTGTGCTTTCTGTGCTTGGCCTTTTTATTTATTTATTTATTTAAGTCATGTATTCCTAACAGTTACAGTTAATTACTAGCATCTGTATTCAACAGTTCCTGTTTAATCCCAGCCTGCAGTTTAGCTGTATGCAGCATGGACAGATGAAACAAGTACTTATTGGTAGGAGCCTCCCAAGCTGTGAGTTAAGCACTGAACATACATTCATAAGACACATGCAGGAACTGCACCATCTGAATGTAAGATAACTCCTTCTATATGTCAGGTTTTAAAAAGAGGAAAAAAAAAAAAATCAGGCCTGAATAACTTCAAACGCTGCAGAAGCAAGTCTTGAGAATATCTCTGCAGGAAAAAATAGGGATGCCAACAAAATCAATTTTAGAAGAATCCAAGCAAGAGTCCTTTGAGACAAGACTTCTTGCAGTCTCCCAGTTGCTCACCAACAGAAACACCCTTTTCTTTTGTCATCAAAGAATTCCCAACAGTGTAATCTGCCCTCCTTACATACCTGTGGAAGACAGTCTGGACGGGACTCAAAGATCACCAGAAGGACACCAATAGGCACTGTCACCTGCTCCAAATCCAGGTCTTTTGCTATTCGTGTTCGCCGAATTACACGGCCAACGCTGTCCTGTGAGGATGCTGCAATCTGACGCAGACCAATAGCCAAACTGTTCAGCTTTGATGTAGACAGACTTAGACGTTTCAACAAAGGAAGTGCCAATCTCCCTAAAAGAAAGAAAAAATTGTGTTGGAGATATATTGGTCTGCCTAGGCTCAAGCAAAAGCAACTTAAACAAGTGGTGAACCTAAGGAAAATTCAAGTATTTCCCACACCGTAGCAAGAAACCTACCCGAGATGAAAAATGCACAGCATTAAGTCCGGTAGCCATAATAAAACCACTCAAACGTGACACTGATTTCACCCACCACCACATTTTCACCTAATGCGGTTTAAGTGATTTGTACATGAAGCACCATCAACAATCACAAAGGTAAGGTTTGTTCTATTTCAAGTACTGCTATATGTCTGAATTTCTTACAGATTTCTACTCTTGCAGTATTTCTGGAAGGTTCAGACAGTAATTTCAACTTTTAATTTTACAGATAGAAATCCCAAAGCACAGATGCATGCATATCATTTCTGTTCAGACTGGGCAGGAACTGTCTGACTTTTCTACTCTGAACACATTCAGACAGTTAGTTAACACAGCAATGTTCCCTCAAGTAATCTGGTCAGTAGAAAACAGTTCCCTGGCATCTTCCACAAAGTATTACAATTCATGATGTGTCATTTTCATACATTTGCTATCCCTATATGTACACATCCCAATCCCAACTTCTCAATGAATGCATCAATCTAACACAGAAGAATGGGTTTAATCCAAGCCACCTAAAGAGAACCTTCCTCAGTCAGAAGGGGTCATGGTCCTTTTTGGAGAGCATGAATTTAAGTATAGAGATGACCATCTTCCCCTCAGGAGCCAAACATTATCTTAACCAGCCCAGAAAATATTCACTTCACACATGACAATAACAGAGATATGTTTTGTTATATACCATTTCTAAAGCTAGTTCCCTTTAGCAAAATGGGGGCCCTAATTTTTTTTTTTTTTTTTTTTTTTTTTACAATACACTGCTTGGTGTTTTGCAAGGCCTCAGTATCTTCTCTGATGAAGGCATCTGTTTTACGTAATTAAGGAAGCTGCAGCTATTTACACTGACAACCTCTCGAAGTCCTGGGTTCGCTAATCTTTGACAGCCATACTACTTAATCCCAGGTGAGAGAAGATTCTAGTTTTGCTCATTTCCTTCGAGGCCCAGAGAGGTTCAAGACAATAGGATTACCATGGAATGACTTGAAATATTACCTTTATTTTCAGCCTCTTCCAAATCCTTTTTGTTCGCCAGGAGAATTTCTTCTCTCTGGTCAGTTAGTAAATCAGCAAGACGATAAATAATCTCCGCTCTCTGAAAGAGAAAACAGTTTCTGAACTGACTTCTTACACAAAGTCCATGCCATTTGACATCTGTTCCCCTTCAGTTCCTTTATGTTGACCACATCCTCTCACTGTCTTGACTCCCTGAATACTTGGGGCCAGCTGATTTTTCCACCCTGCACCACACTGAAAAATGAGGCTGAACACTGCTTCAACCCTTAGTTTTCTTTTTATTATCTTGCTTTCCATGCCCAGCCTTCTTCACCAAACCCACAATGTTCTTCCTTTAAGACCACCTTGTCTTCTTCAAAACAGATGCCACATTTTACCTACCCAGCTGCGGAGCAGTAATTGTTTGTCTACAGCTCCTCTTTTGCATACACGACACCCGGGAGTGAACGGAGCATGTTATTCCACTCAATTCTTCAGCAGCTCTGATCACAATTAATTTCTGTGTGATATTCAACGCTATTAAAATTTTTATAAACCCCACATAAAAGCATATATTACTTCATAGCCCCAAGGCACATTATCTTTCTGCTCTTCTCATCTCTTTAAGCATGCTACAATCCAAATGATGGATCTGGCACACAAAGAATAGATTCTTGTCCCAAGGGGCCCATTTGTATTATAAATCCATGTGGTAAAGCTTGCCATACATTCACAAGCTTAACAAGTGAGGCCATATTGTTCTGTCACCTGCTCAGGCTGTAGAGCCGCCAGGGTCCTGCCACCAGCTCGAGCCATTTCACCCTGTTGCTCTACTGTAGGACCTGCAAAAAACCCCAAAAATATGCTATGCAGACAAAGTAACAGTACATGTGGACGTGAACACTAGCCCTTCCATCTTCCAATTCTTTGCTCAAAGCAGGAAAGCAGGTAAAGCATCTTAAACAGACATATTCAAGAAATCTGTTGTATGCTAAAACAGAAAAATCTGTACCTGACACAAAAATACTGCTATGGTCCCCAAACATAAAGAGTCATCACAGAGATTCTGTAAGATCACCACGCCAGAGGCAAGAGTGCACCATGTATCAAAAAGACTTGAGAAAGGGCAAATGAACACCAGGATAGATACATCTCAGGGCATGGTAGGCTACTGAAAGAATGGAGACGAACTTTGAGAAGTTTAAGTATCTAACTGAGGAAAACAGAAAGGACTACAAAATAGCATGGGAATGTACAAACAATAATGGAAGCCAAAACCCAATCTGAGTAACAGCTTGCAGAAAAATTGCTTTCCCTCTGTCTCTCCCTGTATGCATTTTAGAAGGGTTCCTATAGAAGAAAGGTGGTGTTTGGGTTTTTTCTTTTTTTTCTGGCAGGACCTCAAAGAATGTGTCTCAAACTGAAATGATATCAAACAGGTTACTTCTGTTTGTATTTCAAAAAAAGTCACCAGGTTCAGGTACCATTTCCCCGAAGAGTTTACAAGTAGCTCATGGAAAACCTAAGTTGTAATTTTTAACTCTCCTGAAAATGCCTGTAAAACAGATGACTTGAAGGTGATAAATATGACCCAGCCTCTATTTAGGAGGGGTCCCACGGAAATTGTCAGAGCAGGAATTCCAATGTTATAGAAAATATCAAGAGGTATAGTAGGAAGTGTAAGAAAAGAACTTGTGGACGTATGATTAATTAGACTTATTTAAGAAGTGTTAAAAACCTTTTTAAAGCAAAGTCATACTTTACAAAGTATGGTATGTTTTGGTGTTCTTTGAGAAAAGCAACATATATGTAAGCAGATATAGCTGATTTTAAAAAGTTACTTGAATTTCTGAAGTGTGTTCTTTGGAAGATAGAAGACAAAGAAAGGATTGGAGTAAACACTTGCCACAATAGCAGAAGAGTGCCAGTGAATTCCACAGAGACTTTTGCTGTTTGCCATATTTCTAAGTGACTAAGAATGGGGTCACAAGATGAAAAGCTTTACTGCCGATACAAATTTATTATAGTGGAACTAACTGAAAAGTGTCACTATCTCACTTTTCCCTAGAAAGCAGCTTTTCAGAGGAGGACCTGGGGGTCCTGGTGGACACCAAGCTGAACACAAGCCAGCAGCATGCCCTTGCCGCAAAGGCAGCTAACGGTGTCCTGTGCTGCCTTAGGAGGAGTGTTGCCAGCAGGTCGAGGGAGGTGATCCTGCCCCTCTACTCAGCACCGCTGAGGCCGCACCTGGAGTGCTCTGCCCAGTTCTGGGCTCCCCAGTACAAGAGGGACGTGGACACTATGGAGAGAGCCCCATGAAGGGCAGCAAAGATGATGAAGGGACTGCAGCATCTCTCATATGAGGAAAGGCTGCGAGAGCTGGGACTGGTCAGCCTGGAGAAGGCAGCTCAGGGGAGATCTCATCAGTATGTACAAATACCTGAAGGGAGGGTGTAAAGAAGAAGATGGAGACAGGCTCTCTTCAGTGGTGCCCAGTGACAGGACAAGAGACAATGGACACAAACTGAAACACAGGAGGTGCCTCCCATCAGGAAGCACTTTTGCACTGTGAGGATGATTGAGCACCGGCACAGGTTGCCCAGGGAGGTTGTGGAGTCTGCATTTTAGGAGATATTCAAAAGCTGTCTGAACACAGTCCTGGGCAACCTGATTGAGCAGGAGGCAGGGCCAGATCACCCCGTCATCTGTCATACTGTCCCTTCCAACCTCAGCCAACCTGCAATTCTGTGATTTCCTCTGCAGCCAAGTCACTAGGCCATGAAACAGCAAGTGTAATTCAAACCAGATAAACATGAAGCAATGTAGAGGGGAAAAGGAAAATCAGACCTTAGTATTGTAAAAAATAATACTATGAAAACAACATGTCAGTGAACATCAACATCAAAAACCAAATTAAATGTTTGGAATTATTAGAAAAGGCCTAGAGAACATAATAGAAAACATCATCAGTCTTATCAAAATGCAGTTAGTCCTGCCATCTCATAAATTAAAGCTTCATTTGCATCTTGAATGCTATGTGGAATTTTGATTTTTGCCCATCTCAAAAAGGCCACAATAGAATGAAAACAGTTTTGAAAAGAGAAACAGCGATGACTAAGTTTTTGGAAAAGCTTCAGTACAAAATGTCTAAGACCAAACCTCTTTCACATGGAAGAGAAATGATGAGGGGAAAGACGATGTCTCACACCTTCAAAGTTGAACAGGGGTTGATCACCCATAAAGGCAGTAGGGGCATCAAATGAAGCTACCAGGAAGAAAATTCAAAGCCTTCCCCGTCCTCCCAAACCCAAATTAAAGCAAGCAGTTCTTCACATAGTTCTAGCTCCAGATTTTACACACAGTACCTAGTTAAGTTTCTTGACTATTGTGACACAGAGCATTGTGGATGCTAAGTCTTTCTATGGGTTCAAAGAATGATTCGACAAATTCATACAATAAATCCACTGAGGATTATTATACGCAAAGAAATTCGCTTGGCTTAAAGTGCAAGTCAAAATTATCACTCTGTATTTGTCCTATTCTGCTAAGGTCACAGATTTTTGGTCTGTCTTTCTCCAGTGATTGTTCACTGTCCCAGCAATGCAGTGGCAGGAAAACATTCCTACCTGCCATACCAGAAGACTGAGTCATAAAAGGAATTTATGATAAGAAATAAAACTAAACACTATCTTAGTTCAGCAGCACATTCTATGTCCACATTTTCACACTGAAATCTTCAATACTAGATGATAACCGCTAAGGCTAAAAATGGTAAAAATTCTACTCATAGCGTTCTTCAAATGAAAGTCTGATGCAGCAGTTTATCAGCTGGAGGGAACCAGAGCAGAGGATTCAACATTTTCTATTCCTACTTTAGAAAATACCTTTCAAAATCCATTTCTCGAGCAGAGTGTGGTTTCCCAGTTATTGTACAGGTCTAGCCAAATTTTAACTCTAACCTTTCAGGAAATGTCTATAACTTTCAATGAACACACTACCTCTGTACTCACCTGCAGGTTTTACTTCTGAAAAAAAAGTTCCAACTTTTTTCCCTTCCACAATATCTGTGATGACATGACCTGAGATCTTTGGGTGGGTTCCATTTGCAATCACTACAGATGTGCCTCCTTGAAGGGCCCACAGAGCTGCTTTCACCTACAACGAAGGATAGAGCCAGTTCCAGGAAATTCACTTGTTATTTAAACCACCACTCTCAACAAGACTTCTTGCTCCACTTTGGTCTCCAGATTGATCACTTATTCTTTCAAAGAGCATTCAACACACTTCAGGAATTTCCATAATGTAGCATTGAATGAGATCATGTATTTGTGCTTTACCTTCCCTTCCTTAACCAGCTGCCATTTCATGAGCACACTTCAAGTTTTCCTAACAGCCTGCTTTTTTCAAGACTTCTGCAAGGGCACTTTGGTCATACGTTCTTTTTCACCATTACCTTATGTTGCAAGTTCTTCTTACTGTTTGAAGAAACCCAATTTTCTTTTTTGAAAAGATTCTGTTGCCACTTTCCCTGACATTGATTAGCCATCAATAATTAATCCCCTTTAAGTGACCATGTGATGTACTGCAGAGCACTGTTCTTGCTCAGGTCTTAGCCATTACCATATAACATTAAAAAATTATTCAATACCTTTAGCTGTCTGAATTACTCCTTTGAAGTTTGATGAGTCTAAGCACTCCTCATGGGTCTGGTTAAGATGTAGAGATATTCTCATTGTTTATAACCCTTTGGTAAAGCTATGAAGTTTGCTGAAGAGTAACTCAGGTTTCCACACAAAGTTTTTACCTATTTTGTTCACATTTCCTGTTCATGTTCTCATCGTATTTTTTATTTATTTGCTTCTACTTTTTGCTTGGATGTATGCCCATTGTCTTAATAGTTGTTTCTTTCACTAGGCTCCATTTGAAGACTGTGCACTTCTTCAGTTTTGAATTATATGCTTTTTATTTGACATTCTTCACCCTTTTTGTTGTTATTTTGGAGGAAGATTCTGTAAGTATAGCATATAGGAGTCATCTTCAAATGTCAGGACTGCAGCATACTAAGCAATGTATAGAAGCAACACGCATAAGATCTGAGGTAAGAAGAAAGTCTGAAACAAGAACAATCTGATGTTCACAGACAGATGGAAACTGAAATCAATGATATTAGCAGATCACCTGTGTGCTAAAGGCTGTCATGGAGGGTTGGTGGGGAGGCAGGCATCGTGATCAACATGAGCTCTATGAAATTTAGGGGCAGTATCTTTGTAGGCATTGCCCTAACATGAAGGACAACATGAGCTCTCTTTCTGAACGTCAGTGTTGGCATACTGAAGTTTGCTTAGTCCTTCTACAGAATGTTAAGTTACAGCAGGATTACCTTATTAGTAAGAGTCCTTTGAAATCCCCATGTACTGATTAGTCCTAAGATTAGCCTCTTTCCACACACCTGAGCTGTTCTTTAAGGCATCACAACATGATTTCTCTAAGATCTCCCCCCTTCCAACATTGCACTGGTTCATGCCAAAATACAAAAACACAAATCCAAATCCCAGATGTTACCTGCTGAAGAGATACTGCCTGTGGTCTCCTTAGTTTCTTTTCCCGATCAAGGTATGGGCATCATTATCCCACTATATTTAATTACATGTCATTTATTTTACTGCAAAAGCTTCTCTGCTTCCTCACTTCTACACTTTCCTAATATGGTTCTACAATTAGGTATTACTCCATATTCACCAGGAGATGCCACCTGTTGGATATGCCTATCACATCAAATTCGACTACCACAAGACCATCAACTGCTCCATTTCTGCTCAAATTTCATGCTGATAATCAGGATTTGTACTTTGAGCTATGATCTGTTTATTCTATTATTAATGTTACAGTTTTCCAGAAATATCACCCAATTCTCAACTGTAACAAATTTTTGTTACAACAGCAGCATTGAGATTTGTCTCTGTGCGACTCAGATTTAAAGATACCAAATACCTCTAACAGATTATTATTATTTTTACAATACAAGTACTTTCTGACCTTGGCAGCTTTCCCTTCAATACCTGGAATCATTTAAACCATTCCAGAAGCCAGGTCAAGGGAAAGCTGTTGCTAAATGAGCTCTGTACATCCCATAGTTACAAACAGAACACTCAAATTCCTCCTCCTTTTGCCACCTTCCAGTCCATGCTCTGATACTGAAGTATGTCTTACCTGAATCTTCAGAAAAGGAAATAAAACATAAGATAACTGGTGAAGAATTTCACTTTGGTCTTTCCCTGGTTAGTCAAAATCTACTTCAGTTCTTAGAAACAACCTTCCAGAGGTGTCCTTAGGAAACCCACATCAACTAGTACTGCTGTAGTGCATATCTCAGCATCACGAGAGACATGCTGAAGTCTCACACCACACCCATGTTTATGCACTCACAGCAATGAATACTGAGGGCATCTGAATGTACACAGCACTAAAAACCATTGGCCCTCCTACCTCTGCTATCTTGTACTCGAGAACTACAGTACCTTTGCCTCCACCAATATATCCTTCAGAAGCAAACAGCACATGTACAAACTCAGGAGACAGAGGTATCATATCAGATTCAAGTGACAGGGATTCCCAACATCTTTGGATTATCACATATGAAAGAAGTGAGGACCGACTCTTATTTTAATTTAAAAGACCAACTTAATACAGTTCCAAATGTCACATTTTACAAACTACTGGAATGTAATTCATTAGTTGGTCTTTTCAATTCACATGGACCGAAGAGAGAAGCTGAAGGAACGCATACACCGTTCCAGGGCACTCACAGAATAACTGATGCCAGAAAGGATCTCTGGAGATCGTATAGTCTAACCAACTGCTCAAAGCAGGGTCAACTAGAGGAAGTTACTCGAGATACCATGCAGTCAGGTTTTGAACATCTCCAAACATTTGAGATTCCACAAGCTCTCTCAGCAACCTGCTCCAGTGCTTCAGCAACCTCACCGCAAAATTCTTACATTTCAGCTTAATTTCTTGTATTTCAGTCTGTGCCCATTGCCTCTTATCTGTTCCCTGAATACCACTGAGAGGAGTCTGGCTCTGTCTTCTCTACACCCTCCCTTCAGGTATTTATACACAAACCTTCTCTTCTCTGGGGTAAACGGTCCTAGCTCTCAGCCTCTCCTAGTGTGACAGATGTTCCGACTCTTTAATCGTATTTATGGCTCTCTGTTGGATTCACTGTAGCACGCCATGTCCTTCTTGTACTGCAGTGTCCAGAACCAGACACAACTCTACAGATGTGATCTCACTATTGCTGAGTAGAGGGAAATAAACATTTCCTGCTGGCTGTGTTCTTTCTAATGCAACCCAGGATGCTGTTGGCCTGCTTTGCCCAAAGGGCATATTGCTAGCTCACATTCTGCTTTGTGTCTACCAGGACCCCCTATGTTGTTTTCAGTGAACCTGCTTTCCAGCCAGTCAAGTCCCCAGCCCATACCGGTGAATGGAGTTGTTCCTTCCTAGGTGTGGCATTTCCCATAATGGAACTCGGTAAGGTTCCTGTCTGCCCATTTCTGTAGCCTGTCAAGATCCATCTGAATGCCTGCACAATCACCTCGTCTATCTCCCTTTCCACATCTCCCTTTCCTTCCCAATAACAAAAACCAGTGTTCCGTATTTCTACCTTGGCTTCCATGCCTCCCATTCCCACTCGGGATTTGGTTCCAAACGTTACAGACTGCTGGTCTCCTGGGTAGAATATGTCAATGAGCTTTGCATCATCAGATCCTGGAGGGCTGTCAAAGAGTCCTGAAATAAATAATAAAAATCTGTTAGTGTTATATACCCTCATATCCAAAGCTCACCCGTGAAAAAAGAAAAAAAACATCAATGAGGCTGAAAAGCTGTATTTCATTTTACAGCACTGAAAACTTTCACTGAACCCTGCTTTTTGTGGGACTGAAAGCATGCAACACTTAACAGGCAGACTTAAGAAGCATAGCTTTACCAAAAGCATAATGAATAAGAAACTGAAAACCCACATGCTGAATACCAGCATGCAAGCTGGGAGGTAGAGACATTTGGTTGAGGTTACAGAGACAGTTTACAGCTTTTATACATTCAAAATCAGGGCTTATGTATACAAGCCCACAACTGAACAGGCAAAGGACAGTCCTCCTCACCAAAATCTCAGATTATATTCTTGAATACTGGGTTGTACAGTGATGAACTGGGCAATTCAGAAATACATAAAAAGGGCAACTAACAAATTCTGCTAAGAAGGAACACAACACTACAGAGATATACTCTTACTAATTTTTAAAAAAATCTAGTAATTTTATGTAACTATGTTTGGAATTGAATGATGCTTTGGTTTACCTAAGATGTTAAACCTAAACTCTACCACCAGACTTCCCAGAAATTCTATATGAACAAATACTGGCATTACAAATTAGAGGGCACAAGTGCAGACTATCTGTGTCCTTCCTTGATAGAAGAAGACATGCATCATTCCATAAACAAGATGTCACATTGAATGAATAAGCTTGGAGGATGAGGGTGTTGGGTGTTAATTTTTTTTTTACAACTTGTTTTGACTGTCGCTTTTATGAGTTGTTCTCAGACAGTCATTTCAGCTAGAATCAACCATGAAATCCAGCTGAATCTGCTAAAAGAAACTGTGTCTATGGAAAGGCACCTCCTTCCTCCTCATGGCCTACAATATGTCTCAAAGTCCAGGATCCACTGAAAGAAACCCATCTGGAGAAGATGAAAAGACTATGTGACTTGGGTTATGCAGACTGCACTGATCCGAAACTGGATCCACTACCCTCCTCTCTCGAAAAGGAGCTTCAACATCCATCGGTGACAGACTTATGTCACAGCAGCACAGCTTAGAAGAGTAAAGCAGTGTAAGCCAGATGTCTGGGAGACAGAAAAAGCTAGTAAGTTCCAAGTATCTGGAAGGCAATGACCAGGACTTGTAACGTACCCATAATTCACTGAAAGACAGAACCTCCTGACAGAAGAAACAGACTATTGTAGAATAGTATGTGGCTTATCCTCCTGATTCTAAACACACAGCCTTTATCCTGCATATTACTCATGACTATATCATACAATTCTGTGAAGCTAGCAGAAGTACCATAATACATATCGTATTCTGCATTCTGGAACAAGTCTCAACTTCACATACATTCTCACCGACCCGGATTCAACAGTGTGGCAGACACTGTTTGGCTTATGCAACAGCATCAGCATTGGATATATGCCTTAAGGAGTTATGGGGTACATTGTAATTGTCCCTGTAAAAGATATGAACTGAAGAGATCAGCAAAACCCAAATACATAGGTTGGTTCGACTATCTGATGTATTTCAATAGAAGAAGAAAGTAAAGAAATTACTCACAAACCTTCTACATCTGAGAGAACAATCAGGAGATCAGTTTTCATTTCCACAGCCAGTCGTGCTGCCAGACTGTCATTATCCTTCACACTAATCACCTGCAATGCACATGCATATCAGCAGCACTGAATAGCGGGAGGAACTAGGAAATATTTGGCTCCAACATACAAAAGCAAGTTACCTCAGCACTACCAAGTCCTTCTGAGCTACTTTATTCACACCCACTGGAAACTTAGAAGGTGATCTTTGTGTGAAAGTACATATGCTTTTGGAGTGCAGTAAAGTGGTATCAACATGACAAGCAGTGTGATCAGCACCTGCATTCTCCACCTTGGTGCCCAGTGACAGGACAACAGGTACTAACAGACTCTGCTTTAAGCAGGGGTGCTGGACTACGTGACCTGCAGAAGTCCCTTCCAACTTCAGCTATTCAGTGAAAACCAAACTGGGCATGCTTGCTTTTGGCAGAGCAGACATCATCTGCCCTGCTTTCACCCCACACCACTGTATCATGCCGGAAGCAGATAGGTCAGCATAGTCTTCAGTACCCTCTGTCCACATTACTAATTTTGTATGTTTGTTTCCCTGCTGCAGGCTTCAGAGGTCCCCATTTATGGCATTAGTGAAGTACCCCTTACTGCTGTACCATCTACAAGCAGGATTCACCCCCTTGCAATACTTTACCCACATTTACCCCCTGCAGATCACTATTCGGCTCTGGAGGTGGAACAACAGCATCATTAGTGTTAATTATAGGGACAATATTCATTCTTAGAAGCTCATGCAATGTTCCATTTAAGTTCCGACGCTTCTGTTCATCATGGAAATCCAGGTTGGTGACTAAAATCTAAAAGGAGGAAAATAAATTAATATATACTTAGCCTACCGCTTTTCCTGAGAACATCATAAATGTATGTATTAACATATCATAACAGATCAGCCGTGCCCTTTGGGTCACTAAAGAAACATAAGCCACATTTAAAGGATAAAGAATACAAGTGAGAAACACTCTTTGCACAACATTTTCAGGTTTATATGCCTTAACTTCCACTGGAGCCTATAAGGGCCTTTCTCAAGCTGACAGATCACAGGCTCCAGGAATCAACTTAGGAAAAAAAACATAAGCAGAACATAGATGCTGATGATAACTACTAAGACCCTAAACAATTTGTAAGATTACTCAAGACACTGCTTCTCCTGTTTTCCTTCCCAGTGTAATGTTTCTACTGCCGCAAGCAGGAGGGATGCTTTGCCTCAAGACTTCTCTTCGGCTCTAGAACTCACCTGCTTTTCTGAAAGAATCTTGGTCTTAAAGCCTCCTGCATGCAGACATCACCCCTTTCTTTTTGGTATTTTAAGACAAAAAAACCTCAACTTCTGCTCTGAAGAGACTTTTTTTCATTTTTACTCTACCATTGGACATTTAAGAACTAAGCAAAAAACTCCACCACACAGATGTTACAATAGCACTTGGAATCAATGTGTACACTGACTTTTTTGGCATGGGCAATTAATTCTTCTAAATCGAAGGAATGATAGTTGTCTACCGACTTGAACAAGATTATAATCCAGTGCAACCTACAGCAATTGTTAGCTATACTGTAAACATTTTAGTGATATCAGCTATACTGTGTTACAGGAAGAAGTTCCTCCAAGCGAGACTTCATATTAGGCTCCTAAATTAATTAAAAGTGTCTAAACAAATAAGGACTTACAGTTGATGCAATTCTGCATTCTCAGAGTTTTTAAGATAAGCAAAGCCTGTTTAAGAGTAGTTCAATTAATACAGTTGCAGCATTCAGAATAGGTTATAGGTAGAAGACCCAGGCTAGGGATACCACCACCCACAAGTTAGAAAGGTTTGAAGAGCAGATGGACACAAGTTCTAAGTGTGGATATGCACTTCTGTCAGCTTTACAGAATGTGTGGCAGTTCAGTCACTTGTAATTTTTAAACCCTCACTTTGGATCACCAACTTTATCTTTTGTGAATAGACCTTAATAGACGCCCCCCCACCCCGCTGCTGTACATAAGAGCAGGGCACACACCAATTCTAAAAAGAAAAAGCCTATTTGCTTCACCTTGACAATAGATAACTCCATTTCAGAAATATTTAGCAAGGCACTCCTGTATAAGCTACCATTTACGCTAGAATAATAAGCCACAAATGTAGGATGGCAATAGAAATACAAGACTACAGTAAAAATAGCAGCGTATAAAACACGGAAAAAATCTGAGAACAATTCCATCACTGACTGAAGTAGCAAGTCAGTCTAGGAAAGAAGGAATCTCTTACTTGAGCCGCACAGATGCTGTACTGTGTAAACATGGCCTCATACAAAGCCATTAGTCCACTCTGGCCAGCTGCTGCACAGGCTCGGGCCTCCAAGACTGGAATAGCCTACAAAGATAAAGAACTGCTGTCAGGCAGTAACTTGAGCAGGTACCACCCAACATTCAAGGAAAAGCGGGAATGCTGCCAGTCACTCACCATATCTTTTAGCTGACTCTGGCCTGAATGAAGCGCTTGCCTCACACTCTGAGAAAGCAAGATCTCATGACGCAACCGTTGCTTTCCAAAAGCTACAGCACCACTGGTTACAATCATCATCTCTCGGCCCTGATTTTGCAGCATTGACACCTGTAAGTACAGAACATAAGAAATAGGGCCTGGAGTATGATCGCTGCTAGCATGACAGTTCTGGCTGTTATAACATGCTCACCAGTTCTTGCTGACACAAGTGTTTTGCTTTATCCATGGATGCAGAAAGCGAGGCAGCCACCCTCTAAGATACTCCTGCACACCTGCCTAGCCACTTAGGAGCTATGCAAAGGACTGCATGCAATCTATAGCTTCTGCTAAACTTTCTTTTCTGTCGTGGTTTAACCCCAGCCAGCAACTAAGCACCACGCAGCTGCTCACTCACTCCCCCCCATCCAGTGGGATGGGGGAGAGAATCGGGAAAAAGAAGTAAAACTCGTGGGTTGAGATAAGAACAGTTTAATAGAACAGAAAAGAAGAAACTAATAATGATAATGATAACACTAATAAAATGACAACAGTAGTAACAAAAGGATTGGAATGTACAAATGATGCGCAGTGCAATTGCTCACCACCCGCCGACCAACACCCAGTTAGTCCCCGAGCGGTGATTCCCACCCCCCACTCCCTCCCACTTCCCAGTTCCTATACTAAATGGCATGTCACATGGTATGGAATACCCTGTTGGCCAGTTTGGGTCAGGTGCCCTGGCTGTGTCCTGTGCCAACTTCTTGTGCCCCTCCAGCTTTCTGCTCGCTGGGCATGAGAAGCTGAAAAATCCTTGACTTTAGTCCAAGCACTACTTGGCAACAACTGAAAACATCAGTGTTACCAACATTCTTTGCATACTGAACTCAAAACATAGCACTGTACCAGCTACTAGGAAGACAGTTAACTCTATCCCAGCTGAAACCAGGACATTTTCACAATACCAGTTTTTATGACAGTCATGCTTGAATTTTCACAATACATATTACATGGTAACACTTCTATACCCCTCGCCCCTCCACTTCCATTGCTACAGATAAGGAAAGATAAGATATGAAAAAGCTGTAAAGTAGCAGCTGGACCTTCCCCCAACCCTCTTATTTGCCATCCATTCGCCAAACTGCCATTATACAGTAACTGAATTCTAGAAGTGAAGAAGCTAACTCTGATAATACAGCTTTTACTTACTCCTTCCTTACATGCATCTGGCCAGATTCCTTTCAAAGCTCTAAAGCTAGATGTCTTACATGAATTTAATTTATTATGTTAACTTCACTTCCCAGAGAAGACATGTCCAATCCCCCCCCAAAGTCATAATTTCATTTTGGAGAACCAATTCATGAGCTGATCCCATCAGTTTTTCTAGTAGTAATGAGGTCTCAAGCTTTCTCCTAGAGGAAATCTGCAAATGCTCAGGTAATCAAGAACCTGCAGACTTCACAAACTTCAGTGCCACCTTCCCACTAGGTCCAACTAATGCCCCAGTCACATCTTAGCTATTGCATAAAAATCTCACCCTCTGTACTGGGTCTGGCCAAGATGGGAGTTAACTTACTTCATAAGGGCCTATATACTGCTGTGTTTTGGATTTCAGGACTAAAACAGTGTTGATAACATGCCGGTGTTTTGCCTATTGCTAAATAGTGCTTGCACAGCATCAAAGCCTTCTCTTTTTCCCATGCTGAGCAGCACTTGCACAGTATCAACACTTTCTTTTTCCCACTATGTCCCATCACAGCATGTAGGCTAGAGGCTGGGCAAGAAGTTCAGAGAGGACACGTTTGGGACAGCTGACGTGAACTGGCCAAAGGGATGTTCCATACCATATCACATCATGCTCAGTAATAAAACCAGGGTAGCAGGATAGGAAAGGGCAGGGGATTGTCTCCCAAGGTGGCCATCACTCGGGGACTAGCTGGGCATTGGTCTGCTTGTGCGAGGTAGTGAGTGATTGCCTTAGCATCGCTTATTTCTTTTCCCCTTTCCTTCACTTATTAAACTGTCTTTATTTCAACCCCTAGGTTTTCTTACTTTTGCTCTTCCTATTTTCTTCCCATTCTGACTGGTGGTGGGGCAGAGGTGGGGCAGCAAACAAGCATCTGTATGGGTGCTTAGCTGCTGGTCAAGGTTAACTCACCACACCTTTAAACACCTATTTACAGAGTTACGCGGTTTATGCTACCACAGCACAGGGGAACAAAAAAGGGAAAGGCCAACACGTTGCTTTAAACGGCCATCACTGTTTTTTGAGTTTTCCTACAATCTTCTGTGCCATCCAACAATCACCAAGTATCTGAAGTTAAAATAAACATTCCACTTCAGTCACAGAATTACCTGCTCTACAATAGATGCCAGCCTCCCAAGGGCCAAGCCACACTCATCCCCTCGAGTCACAACAGCACTACCCAGCTTCACTACAATCCGCTTTGCATGCTTCAGCTCACTGCGGTGTGCAAATGATTTTCCATGTGCACGGCTGAGTGGCATAGTGATAAATGGGATGTTGCTCCAACAACGGATGGATTCATTCCTTAATCTTTGGTTATGACAAGGGAGATCTGTGGTTAAAGAAAGAAAGAAAAAAAAATGCAGTTTTAAGTGTTTCATTCAGACTTTAAGCCCTTGAAGTCATGTAACATTTCCTCCCTTTCCAAGGCTAAAGCTCACAATACACACTTCTCAGTGACCTGGAACGAGAAGCTAGCTTTCAAGTCACCAAAATAAAGTGAGAACCATTAATATATCTGAGCAGCTCTAACCGTCCCTAAGGTATATAAGGCAATATCCCACGTGTAACAGAGCTTTGACTCTGGGAATCTAGAAGACCAAACTGAAGGACACTGTAAAAAAAGCCCATACAGCTCACATCAGAAGTAAAAGTACTAGCTTTAAAAACAGTCTCCTTTGCCTCACCTCATTAGATACAGCTAGAGAGTTTTCCCATCTGTAGTAGCACAGAAAGCTTGACTCTTAGGGAGGAAAAGAAACACAGCTTTTACAACATCTCTAGGTCAGGTATTTTTGCACGTTGCTCAACTAGGGGCAGCAGAAGGGGGATGATGGACATACAAACTGGAAGTTACCTTCCTACAGGATAAATAGGCATTGGAGGGAGAAGAGACAGTCACAGCATTACACAGGTAAGACACAAGATACGTAAGGCTGGCACTTTGCCCAAGTCAATGAGATAGGGAATGCTTGCCAGCAAAATCTTTGTTTTCAAAATGCCTGCAAAGGTCAGCAAGACCACTATCAGCACAGCAGATTAAAGAGGATAGTGACTATTAAGGTACAATCACAAGGAACAGTCTGGATCCTTTCTAATTGACAAAGAGGTGGACCCAAACACATAAAGTCCCAAAGTTAAGCTGAAGAAATGAAAGCAGACAGAAAGCACTTCCAATATACTTCATATGCAGTTTTGCAGATCCACAGTGAATTGCATCTGAAGGAGTCATGCAGATAAGAATACATGCAGTCCAAGTGTGTCAAGTGGATAATTAATATAATGTGGATAAGCCATATTACTTGAAAAGAATTTGAAACCACATTTCCTTATCCTCCATCTAGCTCTTCTTGTACTGCTATTAAGAAACTGTATTAAACCAATGTCACCTTTTAGACAGTCTCAAAAATATCAGTATAGCAAAAAAGATGGAGAACACTTCTGATGTAATTACTGAAAAAGCAGCTACTGACACTACACTCTGGGACCAAAAGTGCAACTTAGTCAAAAGATGGCACACATTCATGGAAAAGTTATGGAGAAGATCATACTGGATGCTATTGAAAGGCATATAAAGCACAATGCAATCATCAGGCATAGTCAACATGGGTTCAGAAAGGGAAAGTCTTGTTTAACTAATTTGATACCCTATGGTAAGGTCACCTGCCCACTGAATGCAGGGAAGATGGTGGATGTAGTTTTTCTGGATTTTAGTGAGGCTTTTGATACTGTTCCTCACAGCATCCTTCTGGACAAGTTGCCCAGCTGTGAGATAAGCAGGTTCACGGTGTGCTGGGTGAAGAACTCGCTGGAAGACAGGGCTCAAAGGGTTGTAGTGAATGGGGCTATATCTGGCTAGGGACCAGTAAGCAGCAGTGTTCCTCAGGGCTCAATCCTAGGGCCAGTGCTGTTCAACATTTTTATCAATGATCTGGATGCAGGAGTTGACTGCACCATTAGCAAGTTTGCAGATGATACTAAACTGGGAGGTGCTGTTGACTCTCTCAAAGGACAAGAGACCTTGTGGAGGGATGTATAGATTGGAGCATTGGGCAATCATCAATGGCATGAAATTTAACAAGTCCAAATGCCAGATTCTGCACCAAGGACAGAGTAACGCTGGTCACAAGTATAAATTGGGAGAGGAGTGGCTGGCGATCAGCCCTGCAGAAAGGGATCTGGGGGTGCTGGTCGACAGCAGGCTCAATGTGAGTCAGCAGTGTGCCCTGGCAGACAAGAGGGCAAACTGCATTCTGGGGGGCACCAAACACAGCATGAGCAGCCGGTCGAAAGAGGTGATTAACCTGATGTGTTTATTGTTGGTGCGGCCTCACCTGGAATACTGTGTGCAGTGCTGGGCCCCTCAATTTTAGAAGGACGTTTTGGTCCTTGAATACGCCAAGAGGAGGGCAACCAAGCTGGTGAAGGGGCTGGAAGGCACGTCCTCTGAGGAGCAGCTGAGGACGCTGGGTTTGTCTCGTTCGGAGAGAAGGAGGCTGAGGGGCACAGCTTCCTGAGGAGGGGACGTGGAGAGGGAGGTGCTGATCTCTCCTCCCTGGCGTCCAGGGACAGGACACATGGGGCTGGTTCAAAGCTGCATCAGGGGAGCTTCAGGCTGGACATCAGGAAGCATTTCTTTACCAAGATGGGTGTTCAAACATGGCAACAGGCTTCCTCGAGAGGTGGTCGATGCCCCGTGCCTGTCAGGGCTTAAGAGGCATTTGGACAATGCCCTTAATAACATGCTTTAACTTTTGGTCAGCGCTGAAGTGGTCAGGCAGCTGGACTAGATGATCACTGTAGGGCCCTTCCAACTGAACTATTCTATTCTAGTCAATCCTAACCAGTATCTCATCTGAAGATGCAGAGGCTTCTTTACAAATCAGTAAACTGAATCCTATGCCATGGTCAGAGTTACCTGATTTTATTTAATCTGTTCAGTCTCTCTAATTTTGATGCTCAGTAATACAAAATAGATTCATTTATAACCTAAAGTGACTATTCTGGGTGTTACTTCTGCTGGAGAAAGACAGAAATGAACATAAAAAAGAGAAAGTTGTCCTTTAACAATGTTTTAAATAAGTAAATCTTTTGTTCATCAGACACGCAGAAGAAGCTTAAATGATTAATCATAACTGAGGGCTGCACTAACATGTCACGCATATAAAATTAAAAAATGGAATTTGGAGATGAGTTTCATTTGCCCCTCATTTTCATGAGGGAATACTTGTGAATGTAAATAAAGCCTACAATACATATGAAAGAACAGGTGAAGGATTCCAATTTAACTGTTCTTTCCAGCATTATACATGACTATATAGTATTTGCCTATCCCACACAGTATGACCAGAAAGGAGTAAAACCAAATTGTTTCCAATTCTCTTGGCTAGAGCTTCAGGGTTTAGAAGGTTCCAAGAAGGCAGCTCTTGAGGGATAACCAGTATCTGAAAAGAAACCACTTATTTTTTCAGAAAAACATGGAAGACGACAATGGTTCTAGGACACGCAGAGAATTTCATTCATCTCTGCTAAAGCCCTAATTGCTAACCTTGCTCTATGACTGCATAAACCTGTCTTTTTTAGTTATTTTAGACTGGACTAAGATGTGAAGTCAGCTCCCATGTTACATATGCAAAACAATTCTGGTGACGCAAGCCCATTAACTTGCTTCATATGCAATTAGGAAGAAAACGATATAGCCATCCAGTCAACTTTTTGGACAAATAGGTTTCTAGGCATTCCAGTTTTTATATCCAGTACCTTGTCAACAGTTTCACTTCCTTAATAAAGAAGGAGAAACATATGAAAAAGACTTTAGTATTTGGCACTGCAGATCCTTTTATGAAACCTGCATGAGGCTTGCTTCTCGGGAGTAAAGAAGCAGAATTTCAAAATAGACAAGCCGAACAGGATCACAACAGAAACAGTAGACAACAAAAGAAAACTGTGATCAATGCTCAATTCAGTTTTAGAATGCAACTGATGAAGTAACCAGAATTGTTCCAATACTGGATACTGATTACTGTCAATACTAAGGAATAATTTTCACAGTGTTAACCGAGTAGTTTATGGACTTCGGAAAACGCGGAATATTTAGAAATACTACAAATGCAGAAGTCAACAGAACTATAGGTCAGAAAAAACAAATTTAGCATTTTAAAGATCTCAACATTTATTAATTCATATAAATATCAACAAAAGAGAACTGTTAACACACAGACCAATGGGAAATTAATCTTGCATGCAACAGTAAACAGTTAATCTCTTGATCTAATAGAGTCTATCTGTCCTTGCCTTCTCTATTTCAGACCACTAATCAAATAGACAGTGAATGGTTCTCTCAAGTTAGGTTTTCAGGGAACAACTATTTACAGGGCACTGATGTATTTACACTCAGATTTCCTGCAAGCATCTTTCCACTTTTACCTAATCTGAATAACTTTGAGCTTCACATCTTGTTTTACTCAAGACATCTGTGGGTTGAAAACGCAAATGGGGGAGCAGACATAATCAGATCTTGTTTTCCAGGAATACATGAGGTTGAAATAAAGAACTTTTACAGTAGCATTACTTTCACAACTGATTTTTTTTTGCTTGAAATGCACATCAGAATGAAAAATAGACCCCTCAGACATCAACTGAATATTATTGAGTTAAGGGAGAAAGTAACTTTAAGAAAGTAGAGCTTCCAAGTGCAACTCACTCCAGAGGTTGCACATTTTGAATGATGTTAATGAGGTGATTTTCCTTTGAACATAGGAAAGAGTATAGGCATGCCCAGACACATACTGACCAACATTATTAGAAATGTGTGCTTTCTCTCATACATACATAAACGGGAAATGGCTGCGATGGCATGTGGCGATAACACAAAGCACCATCCAGGGGAACGGACAAGGGGGCTCAGAGCAGCTCGACACAACATTTTGAGATGCCTTCTGCAAATCAAGGATATCTGTAAGTTAAAAGGAAGGGAGGAAGGTGGAAAACTGGTTAAATATCAGTGAATTTCCATCTGTATCTCTCTCCTCACCAAACCCCCCACCCCAACTCCTCTTTGTCCTGTACAGTCTTAACGCAATTTCCTTGTGCAAGAGACAGACAGCCCAGTCTCCATTTTGCAGAATTCTCAGACTGTGACTTAGAAGAACTGAAGGTCCCTGTTCCCTGCCTGCTGGCAGAAGATCATTATTAAAGATCAAGAACAACACGTGGTTCCCCAAGAAGGGAAGACATTATTAGTGGGTGTATCTACAATGGAGAAGAGTCCTAACTTTGTCCACAGGGAAGCCTGGAAGAAAAAAAAAAAAATATAGAGAGGTTGTATCATACAGACTTCTCTGTACACCCCACAACAGAGCATCTACTACACTTATGAATCTCAGCCCTATTCAATATAGAAAATATGCTGACTCACTTTTCCCTGAGCACTACCAAATGACAAAATGTTAACCATGATTACAAGTAAGGCAACAATTTCAAAGGTATTTGGCACTAGTTTCCCTTGACTGAACTTGTAAACACTCAGGATTCTTGCAAGTCAAAATCCACTAGAGCAAGCACCCAGTAAACAAGGGATACACAATTAGCCATTTCCTAGGACAGATCTAGTTGAAGTAATGCATCTAGTATCACAAAGGAAACAAAGGAGATTAACAAGAATCCAGATCTCCCAGACAGTGCTTAAGCCATGAAACCTCTCCTTCCCCTTTTACAAAATTTTGCTTCCTTTACTTGCTTTCAATCCATCTCTCTGCACCATTGGAATAGAGCAAACAACACTGCACAAGCTGTGGTAGGGAGAAGGTACTGAAGAGAGGACAAGGAGAGCTCATAGTAACTGCATTGGAAGACTGCTATTACAAATACCATGACAGTTATAGCACCTGGCAGTTCTGGCATACATGTACATGAACACTTCAAGTTGCTTCATTACCCCACACCAGTGTATTGTTCTTATACTTCATTATAAACCTTACCAAAATATACACCTCTACATAAGACACGGCTGCCACCAGCAGATAATGGCTCTCCTGCTTTGTCTAGTAAAGATTACATAGCACGGCTTTTTAACAATATTAATTTTCAACATCCCTCCAGTTCTGTATTTCATCTGAAATGCCAGTCATGACCACTGCCAGGTCAAGGCAGACAAAGGACTCAGAGCAGATGATACAACTGAGCAAGTAGTCCAAGCTCTCTTCTCATAACAGGGCAAGCTTAAAGGTGAACAGTACCAACTAGACACTCCCTCTTCGAACCCTTATCAGGCACCTCATGCACCTGCCTCTGGGGGGCACAACAATTCCCACTGTTCATATGTCTGGCTGTCTGACCCTTCCACCTTGAAGTCCACCCTAGCATCTACTGTCAGCCGTCATCTTCCCAGCAGGGTCTCAGTTATGTCTCAGAGGAATGGCCAAGTCCTGCAGCTCCTGACAACCTGAACTAGCAAACGGCAGGTCTTTTGTCCAGGACCCCTTCCACCACAACTATCCTGAGTGGAACTGCCTGTTCCTCTTCAGCTTCCTTCACAGACCAGCTCCCTTAGGGAAGAGAACCAGGCACTCTACCTGAAGTTTCACCCCCAGACATTTCCTGTTACAACCTCTTCTGTCAGGCCTTTGATTCCCACCACGGTAATAACCTTCACCTGGTGTTGCACTGTCACTAGAATATAGACCCATACTAGCTAGATCAAGCTGTGTTGTGTCCTTAGTTGCTCCTACTGATCTGCCAGAGAACCACTTCACATTCCCACTACAGGGCTGCTTGCAACTAAGAGCAACCTTGTCCTTCTGGAAGACTGCCTCCTGCTTCCCTTTACCAGAGACAACTTTGCTAAGAGCAAGCAGACAGTGAGCAGTGAGAGGTGGTAGACAGTGTGGATCTTTGGAAGGAAAAAGATTAGAAAGAAATAGCACAGTTTTGCAACTAGCTTGTGAGAAAAGGCAAGGAGGCTAAGTTAACAAGACGACAGAAATGGAAATTTTAAAGCAGCAGCAGATATCAAGAAAATAATGTGAAATGGGAATGACGCTGCCAGAAAGCATAGACAGGGCGTAGGGCATACTGTAAATGACAAGCTTTCTTTCAGCCTAGTCCGAGGCTGCAGAACAACTCCTTTCTCCTCTCTTACTCAATCAAGGATTTAAAGTTACTTTCAATCCTCATTTTCCATTCCACTCCCATTTTCATGCCTGGAATGGTTCCGGTCTTCAGTAACAAACCAAAAAAAGGTACATAATTTTAAAAAAATTAATTAAAAAAATTAAAAATTAAAAATAAAATAAATAATAATAATTAAAAAAATAAAAATCTGCCTTACTTGGAGGGGAGGGAGCAATAAAAAGAAATGCAAAATGCATTATTCAGGTATTTCTCCAAGACTCCGGCAACAGCTTAAAAATTTATGTTTTTTTCATTACCAGGAAGACCTACTCCTTCCAAACTAGTCTCCAAACCTGACTTTTAAAAATATCATTCTCCCATCATCTCTTTAAATAATAGAAGTTATCCTTATATTATTGCTCATAGAAAGCAATACTATTGGCTAGTTTTTATTAATTTGTTATCTCCATAACAGTTGTTAAACAACATAGTACATTTAGATTCTGCTCCAGATCAGTGTAAAGAGACTTAGTCACCTTACCAAGCAATCAGAGGTCTCAAATCCTAAAACTGGTGCCTTTTAACAACAACAATCTATAACACTGATTTTTCAGTCTGTTGGCTGCAGACCCATGGGATGTCCACAGATATTTGCAGTGAGTTGATAAAATAAAACTAAATAATTTTTTTTCACAGTTTTATATATAAAGGCCAATATCTCAACTAAGTGTGAGGACATTCCACAAGGGAAAAAAATCTGGAAACCAAACTCCTATAGAAAGAGCTAAACTGTACTACACTTAAGCAATTAAGCAGAGAGAAATCAAGTTCCAAGGAAATACGCATAATTTTAACGACGCAAGTCTTTACCATAACACAAATAAGTCCTCTGTAACATTCAGGGGTTTTGTTATTTAAGCAGCTTTGTCACCTTAAAATGAAAACTTTTGTAAGGAAAAAAAAATATATCTGCAGTTCTTAGTGCAAACTCAAATCCAAGAAACCTTCCCAGAGAGAAGCCAGCTGAGAAGAACTGACTAAAATAAAGCTTCAAATAAATTGTCTTTAGAACAGTCCACAAATAGCTTTGCCCAGGTTCTATAGAAGTTATACACACAGACAACAGGCAATTCAAGCAACATATACCATGCAATTCTTTTCTACCAAGAATCCATTCCAGCAGGACAGCGCGGTCGCAGCAGCCTGCATCGATCGACATTGCCTTGTGCAGCGGAATAAAACCCTGCTACTGGCCTGTCGGAACCGTTCTGGCTACCTCAAAAGACAGCATCTGTGGACGTTGAGTATTGTTCCATTTTGCTATACCTCGTCTATAAGTAAGCGAAGCAGCACAAGCAGGGCTGTATAGCACCAGCACTAGAGACGGGACTAGTACCTCCAACTGCCTGCCCTGGGAAGTACAAGCGGAGGAACCGAGCGATTCACACCAGGAGCAAGCAGCAGAACCCACTCAGGCACAGACAGCGAGTTCAGCTTCACAAAACGCAACGGCAGACAAATGGCTTGCCGCACGTTTATCACTGACACCTCCAGGCATCACTCCTTGCCTCAGCACTTGAAGCCACCAGGATTTCCGTACCTGACCCGTCCTGCTGAAGCTGCGACAGAGATGTCCACGGGCGGCGGCACCTGCGGCGGCACCAGGACCGCGACGCGACCGCGCTCCCGCCGCGGCGGGCGCGGCCGGACCAGCTGACCCGCCGCAGCCAATCCCCGGCCTCCCGGCAGCGGGCGCCACATCAGCGCGGCGCGCAGGAACCCCAGGCCCACGGCCGGCTGATGTAAGCTCCGCGGCTCCAGCCTCATCCCTCCCACCAGCACGCTCACCTTCCCGTCCTGCTGTCCCAGCAGATGATGTAATTCTACTCCACGTTGCAGCACAAAATCCAGGGCTTTACAGGTTGGAGCATTAACAACTGTTTTCCGTCTAGTCCCAGACTAGTCCAGACAGCCCTCCCCACAGCACAGGCTGCCTAGCCATCTCCCACATCCAGCTTCCCTTGACCTTGATTCTCCCTGTTCTCAGGTGTTTGCAGTCTGATGCAGACAGCAGATGAAAGGGAGCTGTAGACAAACTTTCAGGAGTGGCTTTACCTCTGTAGGCCCTTTACCGCCTTTGTTTTCTCCACTGTAGCCCACACCCTTCCACAAGGGCGAGTCCTGCCTTTGCTCTTCACCTATCCCCCATATGGCATTTGCATTCACTTCTAAATTAAAATAAGTGTACTCTTTGCTGGGTGAAAAACTGCATGGCTGGACGAGCCCAGAGGGTTGTGGTGAACAGGGTGAAATCCAGTTTGCAGCGGGTCACAAGTGGTGTTCCCCAGGGCTCGGTATTGGGCCCAATTCTGTTTAATATCTTTATCAATGACTTGGACGAGCAGATCGAGTGCACCCTCAGCAAGTTTGCAGATGACACCAAGTTGGGAGGCAGAGTCGATCTGCTTGAGGGTAGGGAGGCTCTACAGAGAGATCTGGACAGGCTGGATCCATGGGCTGAGAGCAATCGTATGAGGTTCAACAAGGCCAAGTGCTGGGTCCTGCACTTGGGTCACAACAATCCCATGCACAGCTACGGGCTTGGGAAGAGTGGCTGGAAAGCTGCCTGGCAGAGAAAGACCTGGGGGTGCTGGTTGACAGCCAGCTGAATATGAGCCAGCAGTGTGCCCAGGTGGCCAGGAAGGCCAACAGCATCCTGGCATACATGCGGCCGGCAGGAGCAGGGAAGTGATTATTCCCCTGTATTCGGCACTAGTGAGGCCACACCTTGAACACTGTGTTCAGTTTCAGGCCCCTCACTACAAGAAAGACATTGAGTTGCTGGAGCATGTCCAGAGAAGGGCAACCAAGTTGGTGAGGGGCCTGGAGCACAAGTCTTAGGAGGAACAGCTGAGGGAAGTGGGGTTGTTTAGTGTGGAGAAGAGGAGGCTGAAGGGAGACCTTATCGCTCTCTACAACTAGCTAAAGGGGGGTTGTAGTGAGGTGGGTGCAGGCCTCTTCTGTCAGGTGGCTGGAGATAGGATGAGAGGAGATGGCCTCAAGTTGCAGCAAGGGAGATTTAGGTTAGATATTAGGAAAAATTTCTTTACTGAGAGGGTTGTCACACATTGGAATAGGCTGCTAGGGAAGTGGTTGAGTCACCATCCCTGGAGGTATTCAAAAAGTGCATAGACAGGGTACTCCATAACATGGTTTAGTGGGCATGGATGATGGTTGGACTCGATGATCTTGAAGGTCTTTTCCAACCTAAATGATTCTAAGAGCCTATGTCATGGTTTAACCCCAGCCAGCAACTAAGCACCACGCAGCCGCTCACTCACTCCCCCCCCATCCAGTGGGATGGGGGAGAAAATCGGGAGAAAGAAGTAAAACTCGTGGGTTGAGATAAGAACGGTTTAATAGAACAGAAAAGAAGAAACTAATAATGATAATGATAACACTAATAAAATGACAACAGTAGTAACAAAAGGATTGGAATGTACAAATGATGCGCAGGGCAATTGCTCACCACCCGCCGACCAACACCCAGCTAGTGCCCAAGCGGTGATTCCCCGCCCCGACTTCCCAGTTCCTATACTAGATGGGACGTCCCAAGGTATGGAATACACCATTGGCCAGTTTGGGTCAGGTGCCCTAGCTGTGTTCTGTGCCAACTTCTTGTGCCCTGGCTGGGCATGAGAAGCTGAAAAATCCTTGACTATAGTCTAAACACTACTGAGCAACAACTGAAAACATCAGTGTTATCAACATTCTTGCATACTGAACTCAAAACATAGTGCTGTACCAGCTACTAGGAAGACAGTTAACTCTATCCCAGCTGAAACCGGGACAGCCTAACACTGCCAAGTCCACCATTAAACCATGTGCCTAAGTGCATCTTTTAAATACCTCCAGGGACGGTGACTCCACTGCTTCCCTGGGCAGCCTGTTCCAACGCTTCACAACACTTTTGGTGAAGAAATTTTTCCTAATATCCAGTCTCAACCTCCCCTGGCACAACTTGAGGCCATTTCCTCTCATCCTATCACTTGTTACTTGGGAGAAGAGACCGACCTCCACCTCGCTATGACCTCCTTTCAGGTAGTTGTAGAGAGCAACAAGGTCACCCCTCAGCTCCTTCTCCAGACTAAACAGCCCCAGTTCCCTCAGCCGCTCCTCCTAAGACTTGTGCTCCAGACCCTTCACCAGCTTCGTTGCCCTTCTCTGGACACGCTCCAGCAACTCAATGTCTTTCTTGTAGTGAGGGGCCCGAAACTGAACACAGTGTTCAAGGTGCAGCCTCACCAGTGCCGAGTACAGGAGGACAATCACTCCCCTAGTCCTGCTGGCCACACGATCCGATAGAAGCCCAGATACTACTGGCCTTCTTGGCCACCTCAGCACACTGCTGGATCATATTCAGCTGGCTGTCAGCTGTTGACTGACACCTCCAGGTCCTTTTCCACCAGGCAGCTTTCCAGCCACTCTTCCCCAAGCCTGTAGCGCTGCATGGGGTTGTTGTGACCCAAGTGCAGGACCCGGCACTTGGCCTTGTTGAACCTCATACAGTTGACCTTGGCCCATCGATCCAGCCTGCCCAGATCCCTCTGTGGAACCTTCCTACCCTCAAGCAGATCAACACTCCCACCCAACTTGGGTGTCATCCACAAGCACTCTTATCACTGCAATTAGCAGAAACCATAAATCTAGTTTCTCATCTTCAAAGACACTACAAAATTCATAGAATTTCCTCAGTTCAACTCAGATACTAGTTATACTGTCTTCTGCCTACACCTATTTTACCACTATTATATTCCTATTTACCTATTAGAATTCAAACAAATTCCAACAGCACTAATTCTCATGTTGTTACAAGACAGTATTTGGTTTTTATTTAGTTTGTGGGATATTTTTGTTTGGAGGGCTGTTTACTGGGGGGGAGGGTTTGCTTTTTTTTTTTTTTAACATCTTTAACACATCACCTTCTGGGATCAGGAAGCAATCTTCTCTGAAAGTTTCACAGCTGTGGAAAAAACCTCATGAAGAGTGAACAATATTCAAGTAGCTGGGTTAGAGTTCAAGACACTTGCAAAAGCCTCAGTGTCTCAAGAATTAATAGAAGACCCAACTCACAATTATCTGACATTAAGATTTCACTATCTCCACATGAGGGAAAACAAACCAACCCCTCAAACCCCCCAAATAAATATAAGGTTGTTCATTTCATTAGAAGACTATCTGGAGATCCCCACTTCACAAGAAGTGGAATTTGTTTTAATCATAGCACACATAGGCCCTGCTCTCCCCTCCTCCCCTCTCCAATTATTAGCAAAGATAAACCTGGTGTGTATAATTGCAGAATAAAGACAACACTAACACCAGAATGTTGGTCACTCACAAAAAACACAGAACAGTGACTAAAGATGTATCATAGCAGCTGATTTTTTATGTTAAGCCAAGCCTTCATTTTGATTTTTAAACAGTTAACAAGAAACAGGAATGCCCTCATTTCAAGCTTACATGGCCAATTTTTAAGCACATGCAACTTCTTTGAACTGTGCTTCCAAAAAAAAAAAAGCAACAGATTCCTCTCAACCCCTGCAGATACTGGGGAACTGCTTTTCTTTTTCAGACACTGAAATAGAGGAAGAACTGGCAAGAGAAAATGAACAGCAACTAAATGGGTACTTTCATTTCTCACATGAGACCAGTAGTTTTTATGGAAGGATGCTTGTTAGTGGCAAGGAATCCTAGATTTCCTACCTGGTCAGCAGTAATTTACCTCAGTGTACAGCAAGCATAGTAGGAAGTGAGCAATGGAAAACTGTGGTTTCAGAGAGTTAAGGGCAGTGAACACCTTCAGTAATCTTAAAGAGAGTTCCATCTTAGAGAAAAAAGCATGGAACCATCCTGACATTATTAATAATCTGTATAGGCAGACATGCTACAGTCCACCTTTAGTCCTAGACACAACTGCAACAAACATAGGTGTATCTCTGTGCAAAGACTTCTTTCCCTCACCTAATTAAGAAAAAAAAAGTAATCTTGATTAAAGCAGCTACTCTGATTTATAAGTGAGGAACATAAGGACACAGGTTAATTTAATCAAGCACTAGCACTCACTAAGAAACCTCAAGCTAGGGTTAGTTAGCACCTTTCAAGCATTTCCTTCGTCCTAACATCATCTCTCTACTCTTGCCTGGATCAAATGTGGCTACTTTCTTCTACCACCTGTTTTCAGCACTGAGCAGCAGGTTCCACCAGCTGTTAAGGATAAAGATGATAGAACTAGCCTCCCAATTCTGTTGCCATTTCCCTATGGCCATCAAATGAAGGTTGTACAAGTGCCATAGATCACTCAGGAAAAGCAATGGAGACTGAATAGAAGTTTTGTAATAGCTATGGTTAAGTAGAGTGACAATAGTGCTGCTAAGCAACAAGATGCAAATCAAGTACCTGGACACACGTTCATATCCAGGAGAAACCGTAGCCAGGGAAATGCAAGGATAGAATGAAAAGAATTCTGAAAAATGTAGACTGAAGTTGGCACTCTTGTTTAATATCCGTTTAGTATTTCAGGAGAAAGACTGACTTCCACATTTACTACCCTGGGTGTCAGCCTCTCTTCCAGAACCTCTTACAGAAATTTTAGTTGCACTATTTTGCCCTACTAGTTTTTTTTATTCATACCCTCCATATCCAAAGCCCCATTGTGGAACCTCTTCAACAACTGCCTTCTGGTAATGGTTAAGCCAGCCAACGGTTAAGCTACAACTTCCTAAGAAAAACTAGGGACTATTCACCAACTGTAGGATTTATTTCTAAGTCCCTGTCCTCTCATTTCTCCAAGAAGAACACCACTCAAAACAGCATTCATCAGCATCTCAGCCTCAGGGAACTGTGCATGCTCAGCTCAGCATTCCCTCCAGTTCCTTATTTTTAAGCCATTTGCCTTTACCTACCTTTCCTTTTTTATTCTCTGCCCTCACAACGTCTTGCCTTCTTCTTTTGGGGTTGGGGAGAAACAAGATGGCATTCAGTTTCTATAAAGGGTAAACTGACACCCAAATCCTAATGGGGAAAATAAGACATAAAACAAAACACATCAGTAGAACAGCAGTCTGTCAGATGACCAGATAAAGTACATGGGCAGGACAAGAAAGCAATTAAAACTACCTGAATACCCTCCTGGTCTCCAGCTTTGCATGGTTCTGGGGCTATTCACCTTCTCCATACCACTCACGATTTTGCAGGCTTGTAGTGCACCCATCCTCTCATTCCTCCCTCTGCTGTGATGCTCAAGTTTTCCCTAAACAATTCTAGCACCAGAAGTGCACCAGTTTTGCCACCCCTCCTACTTGAAGCTGCAGTTCCCACCCCCCTCCAGAAAACAGCTTGATCATGGTAATATTCTGTTCAGAGACCAACTGACCCACCCATCTATACAATATGTGAGTACTAGCACCAGCAAGAGAGAAGCACAGCAACTCCTTAGACTACACTGCCACTAACAAATCAGTACAGGATGCTCTTGCTCTCCTTGTATCAAGGCTATTTCAACGATACAGTCATCTCCATTGCTCTTCCTTCACCTCCCCGGTTATCCTAAACAGAGTACAGCATATCACCCAAGGGAGAGTCCAGAACTGCACAGAGTACTCAAGTTTGGACAAAGCAAGGATTTACACAGTGGCATGGTATGGTCTTTTACTCTGCACTTCATTCCTTACCTGATAATTCCTACCATTCTATTTACTTTTTGATTTTTGCTAACGACAACCTGGAACTGACTTTTCAGAGTATCATCCACAGTGACTATCAGATGTTTTCTTCCCTGGATGCTGCAGAAAAACATAAAAATAACATTGCTTTCATATTGCTACTAATACAACATGCAACAAGAGCAGCTGAAAAATTACCAAATCTAAGCCTGAAAGATGTTCACTCTGCTATTGAATACACTTCTTATAACAATGCTGGAAAAGAGTAGCTTAGAAGAGGAAGGCAGTACAGCAAACAAACACACAAATCAAAACAAACAAAGCAGTTAACAAAAATTATTCACCGTCACAAATACAGAAAAGGTAACGTACTTTCTAATGTGATTAAATATAAATACTTTAGTATAGGACAGGGAAGAAGAAAACTTTATTTTAACCCTTTATGAATTGCTTCTTAGTGTCATCAAGACCAATTCTGAGAAAAGAAAGAAGGTAAACACTTCCAAGTATCCATCATTTTTTATGGTACAGTCAGCATAGGTATAAGCATTTATGGAAGTATTTTAGTTATTTTTCATTTAAGAAACTAAAGCTGTTCCTGACTTCATAGTATAGGGACACTTGCCAAAGGCTTTTGCAAAACTGTGTAAGGTTTGCTCATTAAGTCTCCTTTATCTACAGTTTTATTACTTCTTTCAGAGAGCTATCAGGTTTCTTAAAAAAACCCTCTAATCTGATCCTGCTGTATCTTCTGTGAACAAACACCAAGCAAACAACACAGGTTTATCACCAAGAGTCAGGTCAAAACCTAGGTAATAACTTTTATGTGTCACGCAAGTGTCAGGAGGGTTTAAATTTTTTCTTTGGGCATGGAGAAATCTTGTAAGTAGACAGACACAAGAGGCAAGCAAGGAAAAAGAACTCCCAAGAGGGGTGACAGCTCTGCTGTCACAAAGCTCGAGAAGAATAAGGCCAACATAGCTCTTATCAATTCATCTAGTGCTCGCAGGGGTCCAAACTGCTATTTCACTCTGCCAATAACTCCACGCAGTAACAATGCTCCGTAGCCATCAAGAAAATTTGAACCAAAGTCTAGAAGGCTCTGGAAAGCTTGCGAGGACCAAGAGAACAGGGAGCGTCCAGGCGCAGGCAGCACTGCAGCGACTGTACGTACAGCACCTCTACAGCTTCAAGGCTTAGCTCGCTTGTTTTCCCACGGAGTCCTCACTCCTCCACTGCGAGCAATACAGCAACGGCTCCTGATCCTCCAGTCGCAGGAGGGGAGCCGGCAGCAACCGCTTTGACTTACCGCGGAGCGCCGACGGAAGGCACAGCCCAGCGCCGGCCGCAACGCGGCTCGCCCCTCCGCTAAGGGGCCCGTCGCGCTCAGCTACGGGCGGCCGCGACAGCGCAGCCCGCCTCTGCGACACCCCTAGGCGGCAGGGCCGGCGGCCGCCCCGGCC